CAGCCAAGCTAGTGTGCGCATGTGACGGGACGACACACGCGCTAGTTCGGGCAATTCTTGTCTCCAAAGTTTGTTTCATGCAGTTTGTCTTTGGGTGATAGGCAGCTTCACGCGCTACAGGAGCATGGAGGCGTGTTCCCTCAAGCAAATAGGGCACTTTGAAGCATCTGTGTGCGTAGTTATTGGGAGCAGGCAGGACCGCAATCTGGGCGGGCTTGCAGCCTCCAGAGCCTCGCCACCGCGCTACCTGCGGCGCGGCGCTACCCCAGCACAACAAAGGGGGGGGCCATTCTGCGTCGCCTCGAGCATGTGCGCCGCCCCTCTCCGCACGGGCTGGATCGGGCCCTCAATCGCAATACCTGCAGGCCGCATGACGACGGCTGCTACGTGTGGCTTCTGTTGTGGCGGAACCCCTGCGTGGCGCTGTGCCCCCTGTCGGCTAGACCTTGCTGCTAGGTAGTGTGTGCACGTGTAGTAAGCAAGTCTGTTGCCTCTTGAAGTCGCACCTGTGCACGTATTGAAGCGCTGTTGCATCTGTTATAACCAAATCGAGGTACTTCAGCAATCAATGACGTCCGCAATCCACTCAACCCATCGACCCGCCCTTCAGTTGTGCTGCGATCTCAGCCGAGTCTGTCATTTCACGCACGTGATTTCGGCGCTAATCACAGGTTTGATGGCACTTATGGGTGCTATGAGACCGCTACTTTCTCTCCCGGCAGGCCCACGTGTGGCGTGCGTGCCGCACTGGGCGTGCGTTCGCACACGCAGCAACGGCGCTCGCAGGCATTCGCACAGCACTTCCTCGGCGCTCGCCCCTTAGCCACAGCGTATGGCTGTGGCGTACGAATCAGAGCCGCCACAAATCCTGCCAGCTTCAGCGGCCACTGGCAATGAGACACTGGTGGAGGCATGGCGGCGGGGTGTCTCGCATGGTCCCAACGAATGGACGATGTGGGCGCTCCATGGACGCGTGCTGCGACGGCATGGCGCCTGCGAGGGATCCTTGCAGTCTGGCGCGTGCGGCAGGTGAGAATGGGGAGGGGGCGGGCTTGGCCTGGAGCAGCTCGAGCTGGCTGCTGGTCGTGATGGGGTGGAAGAGCGTCCCTTGAGCCCCTATCATAAGCCCACTGCATGATTCGCAATCAGGAAGGGGCGCAACAGGTGCTGATCCCATTTTCCGGTGCAATGGAAGTGTCTATTGCCACCCCGCTGCAGCAGCTCAGCCGTGCGGCCGTCACGACAACGGGCACACCACAATGTGGCCACCGCAGCGGCGACTGCGCACATTTCCGTACCAGCTGCCAGCCTCTCTCTGGTAACATTGTACCTTCTCGTTTAATCGAAATCAACAACGCAGGCTCCGGGAGCGGGGAAGACAGGAGGCAGAGCCGGCGACATTCCATATATTGGCTGTGCCCTCGCCCTCTATAGGCCCAGTCAGTTCGTTCCCGCGTTCGACCAGACCTTTCGAGTCTTTTGAAACATCATCAACATCCCTTGTTGTGGAGCTCCCGACCACGGTCGCCTCGAGCCTTGACTAGCTCTGCAACACCGACCCGCTCGGCTTGCAGTGGGGTCCCGCTCTCTTGAAAAAGCCTGATATCTGTTTCTAAAGGTGCGCAGGGGCGCGCCGTGCTCAGGCGGGCGTGGGCCATGGGCACGCAGCAGTATGCTCACCAACGAAAAAAAACTGCTATTGCTTGCATGATTGTTTGCGTCAGCCGCAGGCTCACGGCGTGCTTCACAACCTGTGGGTGTCTATCTGAGGCGCCGAGCACGCTGACCCGCCGCAGGCTGACTGGCGCCTGTTGTGGGGGAGTGTGCAGCGGCGATGGTGGGCGGCGGCGGGACGCGTGGGCGTCTGGCGCCGCTGGCCGCAGTGGGCGGCAACCTGGCGCGGAACGCCGGCCCCGTGCTGACCTGTGCGGCAGCAGCAGCTGCCGGTGCATTGGTGGCGAAGAGCTGCAGGGTGCGTGCGGCGGAGGGCGTTGTGGCAGGCCCCTAGGGGCGCACATGCAGGTGTATGGGATCCGATTTGGTCCAAGCAACGCTCAATTGCGTGCGACAGCACATTCCTCTGGGCTGCCTGCCGCACTCCGCTCTGCTTGATCTGGCTATTCATTGCAAGCGATCGATTCCTGCAAACATTGTGGCCCTGGCTGATCCACCCCAGGCGCGTACGGCGGAGGCGGCGGCCCTGGAGCGACGCAGGGCTGAGCTGGCGGCCTACGACGCGGCCGTCAAGGCCACAGCCAAGGTGGGAGCATCACGCCTGTACGGGCCTGTGTGCCTGTGTATGCACATGTGCGTAGGTGCGCGCCTGCGCTGTCGTTGTGTGTTTGGTGCAAGCGGACTAGAGTTGAGGGTGTGGTGTGGATTTACTCGGCCATGAATTCTCCTAGGGACCAGCCAGTGCTCGGCTCTTCGAGGCCAAGGGGGGGGGGGGGGTGCAGGCATTGGATGTCCCTCAGCCAGTCCGATTTCCAGGCAATGCCACGGCCTTAGGATAGGTGGTTCAGCCCCGGAAATATGCTCCTATTCCAGCTCCCCCTCTGCCGCCTGGCCTGACTTGCTGCAATACTTCCGCCCCGCACTCCCCTTGTCCTTCCGGCCCCTCCCTCGCCTTGCCGCAGGACCGAGAGGCGGCCTGGCAACAGCTGCTGGAGCAGGAGGGGAGGCAGCGCGCCGTCAAGGCTGTTGTCGAGACCATCTTTGGCAACATTCGCGCCCGAGAGGCGCGTGAGCTCATCGCTGCCGCCCAGGCTCAGGCGGCGGCGGTGCACCAGGTGCGCGGATGGGTGGGCGAGTGTAAATTAAAAACTTGAATACTAATATTGGTGTGTGTATAGAAGTGTGCGCGTGTTATGTGTGTGCACACGTGCTCATCGCATGTGGTGAGGTTGTGGGGGGGGGTTGCGCAGGGACGAGTGCTGACTTGTCGCGCAATGCAAGGGTTTGTGGCACCCGATGACAGGAGTTGGGGCCAATAGTGCAGCCGCATCGGTGTGGCAAAGGGGCCTGCAGCAGGCAGATGCATCCATGCACTTAGGCCAGAGCGGAGGCTTGGCGCTATGCCCGGCCATGGTGCACTCTCTGCTGGCCCTCCAGACCCCGACCACACTGCTTTCATCGGCCCCAACCCGACCACACCGCAGGAGGCCGAGGCCGCGCGCTCCAGGGCTGTGCGGCTCGAGGCCTCTGCCAGGCGGCGCAGTGCCAAGCTGGGGGTGCGCAAGGCTGCGGTGCAGACGGGCGAGTCGCAGATTCAGAGGCGCGAAGAGGTGGGTGCGCAGCAGTCAGGGAGGGAGTGCGGTGTGGGTTGGGTTCGGGTTTTGCTGTGTGCCGCGAGTGGGCGGGTTGTTTGCTGAGTTTGGCGTGTTCGGCCCTGGCCCCAGCAGCGCAGCGTCATCCATGCCGCTGCTCCGCCGTGCGTTTCTGCATCACTCCGTGTAACTACACCCCTCAAACTGACTCATTCCTCCCCCCGCGTTGCCGCTCACTCCTGCCGCCGCACACCTCAGGCGCTGGAGGAGGCCGAGGAGGCGCAGGAGCGCGCTGCCGCGGAGCTGGCGGTGGAGCGCGCACAGGTGGAGCACCGCGCGGCGCGCGCTGAGGCGGCGTGTGCGGAGGCGGCGGGCCGCCTGCGCGCGACCATCGTGGAGGTGGCCGAAGCTCGGGAGGAGCTGCAGGTGGGGCGCTGTGGGGGTTGGGGCTTGGGCCGGGGGTTGGGCAAGGGAGTGTGCAGGCCGTTCAGGGCTGCGCGCGTCCCATTTGATTTGAGAGGGGCTGACCGCCGCCGCACCAGCATCGCTCTTCACCGTTCACGCCACGCCTGCTGGGGCACCCTGCAGCACACACGGGACGCCCTACTGCATGCCATTCTCAGCCGCGCCCATTGGTGGCCTACAAGCGTGATGGATTGCTTCTGCAGGCCCAGTCTAGAACCGCCGTCCCCAGCGCCCATAGGAAGACCGCAGCACACCCCTTCCCCTAACCCGCCTCACGCCCCAACCCACCCCTTGCTCAAGACCTGTCAACACTCCTTCGCCCCCCATGCCAGGAGGATGCAGCGGAAATGATGACGGAGATCCAAGGGGCCTCGCAGGAGCTGGCCCGGCAGCAGGAGGAGCTGCAGGGGGCGGTCACGGCGTTTGAGCGGCAGAGGGCCGCGCAGCGCGCCGAGGTGGTGCAGGAGGAGCAGGTGAGGGAGGATTGGTTTGGCGGGACGTGTGTGTTTGGGGGCCTGGGCCCGCCCTCATGCCCTTTGCTCAATCTGGGTTTGCAGTGCAGCCAGCAGAACAGCTTCCTTCCTGGCATTTGTCCACACATTGACTTGTGTCGCGGTGGCATTACTAGTGACATATCTCATCCCAATTACCCTCCACATTTCAACCAGGCGATGGCGGCGAAGCGTGAGGGCCTGCAAAGGGAGGAGGCGGAGCACGCCAAGGCGGTCAAGGAGCGCACTGAAGCGATGACTGAGTACTTCCAGGTGGGAAGGGGTGCTGCTCCTCAGCACCTGCAGGGCTTCCATACGTTGTTTCGTGTGCGCTGCCTGCCACAAGTTGTGTGTGCGCCCCCAGCGCCGGCGACCAGTCTGCATGCCGCTTCTCCAGGGGCTTCCGCCGTCTCATTGGCCATACCCATCACCTTCCCCTTCCCTGCCCTCGGCCGCTTTCTGCCTCCCCAGTCGGCTCAGGCGCAGCTAGTGCGGGGCCAGGCGAAGCTGCAGCAGCGCGAGGAGGCGTGGTCGCAAGAGTCTCGGATGCAGCACATGGTGCGCCGCGCACACACGCCCTGCTGGGGGCGCAGCTGTGTGGGAGACGCGACAGGTGGTCTTGCTGTGCGGGCATGCCGGCGCCTCGCACGCTCAGCTTCGCGGGCTGCCAGCTGCACGCGGTGCCACGCCTGTGACGTGCCCGCTGTCTGATTGGAGAACAAAAACAGCTACTTTTCAACCCCCACCCACTGCAGCACATGCACACACAAACACACGCACGCTCGCACGCGCACACACACGACACACACACGCACACACAAGCACACACGCGCACGCGCGCGTGCATGTGAACGCTTGCATTGCGCAGGCGCAGGAGCGGGTGGACCGTGAGCTGCGCGCCCGGGAGGGA